CGCATTCTTTTGCTGTCACACCTACCACTTGAATTGCCTTATGGACTCCACAAATGCTGTGAGTAGCAAAAAAGGGACGGGACCCCTCTCACAAAGCGCATCTCCATATTATGAATATGATAATGGTGAGGTTGATGAAGAAGAGGATGAGGATACCTCATCAGGCTCCCTTCAGATACGTTGTATCTTGTGCACTACTGCTGCAGGTTGATTTTATTTGCCCGCCAAACCTTGCGTGTAACGGGCCTACTGAGCTCCATGTGTAGGACCTATCACTCTTCAAGCTCAGAAGTAATACTTGAGAGCTAAAAACTACCACTTTTCTAACCGAGTCCATGAGCATATCACTCTGACATGTGGTAGTCTTTTAGTCTGAAAAGTATTAGTCTCATGCAAGTGCTGAAGTGCATGTAAAATAGTCCCATGCATTTTGGGAGCATATATCTCGAGGATGAGCTATTTTTTTGCCATGTTCGTGGTGTTATACCGGACATTTGCAATCTTCATTGTTGATTAGGTGTAGACTAATGACATTAAATTGACGTCTAGAAGCTAGATGAACAATAACCCAATACGTCCTTTTACAGTCCGAAAGTAATGATAGATGAAATAGTTGTCATTCTGCACTTGTAAATTAAGTTACCTGATTGAGGAAATTTGGTGTGCCGCGAGTCATTCTCAGCCATCTCATGTGTGTAATGAGAGTATCTCACCATGTGGTCATCATCAAAGAATTATAAGAACGCAAATCAGCCTATGAAGTCTACACTATGTGGTAGCACCACTATGAAGTTCGAAGTGGATGTTTTGAAGTGATGCCGTAGTTGTGAATCTCAATTTACGAGCACCTGAAATATTATCAACCCTACCAAGGTACACTGGCAGTTGAATGTACTCGGCCATCTTTATTCAAATGAAGTGTTGTATTTCTCTACTCAGTATATTGTAAATTTGTTGTTGTGTGTCAGTGTGCAACTGTGTGTGTGCATTGGCTGCATGTCTTTGGCATTGAATGTTTTATTTATTTTGGATTTGGAGCATGTCCCCATGAAGTTATATATTTTCATGACTCTGAACTTCTATAGCAAATGCCTTCCTCCAAAAAGAGGAAGTCATCTTTGGAGGGGATTGTATTTTTATGGCAAAACATATTTCAAGCCTTTGAAGACTGAAGTTGGGCATTCGGGGAAATTTTTGGACAACTTTTTGTTTCCATTTGTTATACTCCGTGCATAACAGTCGATGCAAGTCATCTGGTACTCTGGTAGGGTGGGTAGCGGGGGAGATTCCACCCCCAAAGTATTATACGCAGGACTTTCAATACATCAAAATAAGTCAATAGATTTAAATATATGTTTGATTCATTTACCCTAATTGATTGCAAAATAGAAATGATCATAGAGAGCAATTTCACATTAAAATTCGTTCTTTGGCCGATGTGGTTTATAGTATATAAAATATATTTTATCATATGTCTTTATCATAGTGAAAGTATGAAACCTATTATACACAAAAAATACATTCTATTTTGCCGAAATTTCGGTATATCTTTTTTTATGTATCAAAATTTTAGTACAGTAAGTGTATGGTATGACTAAAATTCTATGTCACGCTATTATTTTAATATAACCAATAATTGTATGTCAAATGAAATACATAAAATTGGTGTTACTAGTGATATAGTAAAAGCATTAATAAAAAATTATTACATCCATTCCCAAAAACTTTGTCATTTTCGAAATTATTTATAATATAAAAATTATATGAAAATGTTATTTGTTAAAAATACTTTCATAAAAGTATAAACTTTATAACTTTCAAAATATTATATTAATCAAAATCAAAGGTTCAAATTTTTTGAAATGACATTGAGATAGAATTAGTACAAAATACTAATAATAATCCATTGGTGTCATATTTTTTTTGAACAAGATTTGTTATAATTATATTTCAACATTTCAACGTATTACATACTAATAAATTCTTACATTTTCCTAGAAATAACTTAAACAACATGAATATGTATAAGACTAATGATCTCCAATGAAAAAGTAAAATCAATACAAATAGCATGCTTCTATCTTCTATTCATTTTATAATTTCAGATAAATTATTAGATTGATTATCAGTATAATGATATTTTGATATACCCATGAATCCATGATATTGTACGGAAATAATATATACCGATATGTCGTACCAAAATAATTTGGTACTGTGTCATACTTCATCGAAAATGTCGGTATATCAACATTTTCAATAAACTCAGTATATCTCGTGGTAAGTGCAGTTTACTGAAATTTAAGTATTTTTCTATCACCTTACCTGTAACATTTTAAGTTTGCTTTTGAGTATTGATTTACTCAATTGGTCAAATTAAAAGGTAAGGGCTCAATAGGCAACCAGAGGAGAAAAGGCCATGAACTAAAAAAGAGTTTGCATCCCTTTTTTCTTATTTGGAACAACTTAATTTCATGAAAAATAATGAAATGATTACATATTTATTACTTAAATAAAAATTATTTACAAAAATGTGACTAATGAATAGAATATTAATGAAATCATTTTAACTCATGTTCAATTTTTAAACTTAAGTTACTATGACATTAGTGGCGGACACCGGCAGTGGCTAATGGGGGCAACTGCCCCCTCCAAAAAAATCCCGAGTATATTTACTCCGAAATTTTAATAGATATGTATTTATATGTATTTTCTTACACTGCCGCCGCCGCCAATCAAAAATTCCTGCGTCTGCCACTTTATGACATTATACTGTAGTAATTATTGGTCACATTTGTGTAAATAAATTTTATTTTGGTAATATATAGATCATATTTAAAAAAATCCAAAAATTTGACGAGATTAGTCATATATGTGTGACGAAGTATTAAGTAATCAAATACCACATGTATCAGTTGGTTTTATTTCAAGTTTCAAGTAGTATTTTTTTTAATTCTTATTTTGTCCACATTCGTTTGGAACAAGAACTATCATCTTCCGTTTACTGGTACTCTATTATGATAACACCTCCGAAGTCTTATTATTCGAGTGCAAAATTTGGGGCATGATAACAAATTTTACAATTTGTAAGGTAACCACTACTTTTAACTTATTAGCCTTTATTAGTTAAATAAAAAAGTATTTGACTTTGCATCCTACTTTTTGAGTGATGTTGAATTTTACACTTCATATTGATTTCTTTTTTTACCCAGTATATAATATTTCGTGAAGAAAAATCTCTGAAAGATGCAAAGTCAAACGATTTTTAAGTGAAATGGAGTGTAAAGTCAAAGTTTTTTGAAAATGGGGTGCAAAATCCAGTATCACTCAAAAAGTGAGATGTAAAATCAAACCCCCCTTAAATTCGTGTGTTAAATTGTGTAATGATCAAAATAAATCAGATTTAAGTTATTTTTCTGGCTGAATAAGCTGAAGTTACCGTAGAAGACTATTTTAGATATATTTTCATATAACGTTTTATCTATTAATTAGTAAAGTGTAAGTTTAATATAATATTTCAATAATTCACTAGATCTAGCCGCTTCACCCTCAACTTCACCAATTTTATTAGATTTAACCGATTTTCATATTACCAAATAGACTCTGAATGATTTTTTTGAAAAAAATTTGTGAACATGTTCTCCATGAAGTGTAGACTAAATCAACAAAATTTCAGTTTAAAATTCAATGGGAAAATTAGCTAAATAAATTATTGAATAAAACTTCGTCAATAAATATAAAAAGCATAGTTTGTTTCAATAATTTATTTAACTCTTTCCCTATTGAATTTTAATATTAAAATTTATAGACATTGATGGAGTATATGGCCTAGGGACCCCCGGCCCACAGACTCCTAATTCTCCAACACGGGCCCATCAAATCCTATGAGCACACAAAGCCCAAAAAAGGTGGCCCAAACATGAAGAAGCCCACGGTGCACATGTGGATGCCTTCGGCCCTATGGCCTAGGGCTCCAAATTCTAGAAGGCAACTTGATATGGACCTGCAAAGTTTCTGGGAAATTCTGGCTGAAATGTTAGCCTTCGGCTATTCTATACCCTCAACTGTATATAGCCTTCGGCTATATGATCGCCGGGGAGGCCTTCGGCAACAGCACTTTCGGCGAAGATTCCTTTTAGAGACAGACAACCACCGCATTCAATACGGTGTCACGTCCAATCACCGCATTTAATGCGGTGCACATGCAAATGTCGGTGCCACCCCCGATTGAGGTGACGCTTAGCCATCAGATGTTTGACACGTGTCTCCGCCTAGCATTTATGTCTGCTATAAATAGCATCCTTTACTCCTCTTGTAAAGGATCCCAGATCAGAATTGATTAATATATCTGACTCTCTCTCTCTCTTACTTATTGCTTTTACCTCTTTCTTGATATTCATTATAATATCCCTCGGATAAGCTACCCCGGGTACACTATCAATCAGACATAAAACTACAATTTAAGAATAACATACTCGCAAATTTTCATCAAAAAATATATCCGAAATCACCTCAAAATGAGGTGGTTGGACAGCGCCCCAGTCAGGAAATTCTTGACTTGAATATTTGTGTGTATATATGATCAAATACTGCGTATAAATTTGGGTAAATTGACAAGTAATATTTTAAATTAGACTGAAATTTTCTAATATGATCGAGTCTCTTTTAAATATAGTCTTGTCTTACCTAAATCAATCAAGTAGAATACTGATTATCTATTTTACAACTATTGTAGTATGATATGGTCCATTTTAATTTGATATGATTTAATCTTGTTTATTTAAATTTAATCTGATATAGAGTATAATCTATTACGGAATCTAACTAAAAACTAAAAATATCCCAAGAACCAGCAAAATGGATTGGGGAGAACCGAGAACATGTCGAACATTTCCATTCCCGGCAAGGCGACAAGAGAGAAAATTAATTGATACTCGTAGAATATTCACTTTCATTTTCCTTTTCATTTTTCATTTTCATTTTCACTTTACGGATAATAATGAAAAACAAACACACTCCTCACTCTCGAAGCGGCAGCGGTCATGAAAGATAAAGAAACCCATCTTCGTCCACAAATCAAATTAAATAAAAACCCTAACTCTCCTCTGCTTTCTCTCTCCAACATTTCAATAACAACATTTCATTCCTTATCCGGATCGACCTGCCGGAGCTCCGACCTGTCAAATGGCGGAGAGAGAGGGACGGAACGGAGATGATCGGAGTGAGACTAGTGATTACACGTCGGAGGACGAGGGGACCGAAGACTACAGGCGCGGAGGCTACCACGCTGTCCGAATCGGAGATACATTTAAGCACGGGCGTTACATAGTCCAGAGCAAGCTCGGTTGGGGTCACTTCTCCACTGTCTGGCTAGCTTGGGACACTCTAAAATCCGTAATCTATTTCCCCTTTACACTTTACACATCTCTATCTTTGTTTTTCCTTATTCAGATTACAATGAAGACTCATCTCTATCTTCATTTATCTCATCTCGTTTCAATGGTAATTCACAAGTGACATAATTCAAGGAACTTTCGTGCCGGTAATAAATGGAAATGGAAGCGGATAAATCTCGAGAAAATCTGGTTGTGGCTTTATTTTGTTCACGCCTATAGCTTAGTATTTTTCTTCCCATTTACTGAAATAATTTGTTCACCCGCATTTCTTCTTCTCCAAACACTCTCCACCTTGGCTCTTCAGTTTATGATTAAAAAGTGCATCTATATCCCCCTATCACATCCATCTTAGTTCTGTGAAAAAATGTTCTTTCTACAATCATAGAAGTCTATAAAGAGTGTTCTGCAAACTTGCAGATGCAATGTAGTGGAAAAAATTACACTTTTGGTCCCATGACTATTATACCACTTTCACATAAGCTCAAAATGGGCTGAAATATTTCAAATTCAGTCAATTATTATACAACTAATGATGTTTGGATAAGAGACTGAAATGAACTTGAGCTGGAAAAAATCATCTGAACTAAAACTTTCCAAGGAGCAATGTTTCGATTCAGAGGCTGCCTTCTTTCCCATATTAGCCCTTACGTATACTCTTCTGCGCACTATAAAAACAAACGGCAACTTCAATTCGATCAACCCAATATGCAAGGGCCAAAGAAGAATGAAAGAATCAAGGGCCCATATTCAACTGTTTTTTAATCGATTCACGCGGTTTTATTTGAAATATACGCAGCGGCAGTTCGTTTATTGGGTGTAGAAAAAATTAGTGTATACGTTCATATTTATTTACTGGTATGTATATGACAGTATGACACACATACTCCGCATATATCATCTTGATATTCACTGGAATTTAAGAAAATTATAATAAATATGTAGTATCTTCTTTTAACAAATTTATACTACGCATGTCCTATGTATAATGTAATTTTAAAAATATTTATAATAAATATTTTGTTATGTTAAAAAATCATTTGTCCTTTAATGTAATTTCGTATTATTCGGCACTTTTTCAGCTCGTTTTGCCAAATGAGGCTATAACAACTCAGATTTAGCACTTCAATATTCAAGCTACAGACAATAGCCTCTGATTCAGACAACGGCCCCTAATTCAGACATTAGCCTCCAGCTTCAGCTGGTTGCGCCAAACATAGCCTTAGTCCCTTACTTTCAGATTGTCCACATTTAGTCCGTGACCATTATCCCCTCACCACCCCTCGTCCTTCCGGCCAAAATTCCGGCAAATTTAATGCAGATTTTAGGTATGAAAAACCAAATTTAATGCAAAGACTGATATGAAAAACCCAACCTGATACAAAATTAACTGCAAAGACTGATTCTGAGGCTGAGAAGTGGACTAAATTTGCCGGAATTTTGGCCGGAAGGACCGAGGGTGGTGAGGGGATAATGGTCACGGGCTAAATGTGGACAATCTGAAAGTAAGGGACTAAATGTGGAAGTGATATAATAGTCATGGGACCAAAAGTGGATTTTTTTCCAATGTAGTGTGTAAGTGTGCTGATGTGCTCTATGCATGCTGTCTGAACAAGTTTTCTTCAATGAAGAGTGCTCAACGGCCACTTGCCAATTGAGTATTCAATAACTGTTGGCTGAACACTCTTCATTGTGATTAGAAATGTTTACCACACATGAGGTGTATTTAAAGAGACTTATAGGGTGTATTTAGTTGCCCATAACCACTGCCAAAGGTTCTACTAATCTTTTTCTTCCCATATTATTGTGATTGTTATTTTAGTACTTTATTTTAATAATAACACATACCCTTTTAGCAGAAAAGACAATAGTACCAATCTTTTTCTACCCATATTATTATCATTGTTATTCTTATTATTTGATTATATCAACAATACCCTTTTAGCTCTAATTAAACACTCAACGATTCAGTCAATCATTTCACTAAGTTCACTTCACCTCATCTGTTTATGCCATTTCATAGAAAAGTAACTCACCAAGTGAGCCTTCTTTATTGAGTTCCACTTATTTCACCTCATGTTGTTATGCACTGATTTTTTCCTTTTGTATTCTGGGGATAGAAATATGTGGCCCTGAAAGTTCAAAAGAGTGCTCAGCATTATACTGAAGCAGCAATGGATGAAATTACAATACTAAAGCAAATTGCTGAAGCGGACCCTGATGATATGAAGTGTGTTGTGAAGTTACTGGATAACTTTAAACATTCAGGCCCTAATGGTCAACACGTTTGCATGGTTTTTGAGTACTTGGGTGATAATCTGCTGACCCTCATCAAGTATTCAGACTATCGAGGGATTCCTCTTCACAAGGTGAAGGAAATTTGTGCCCACATTCTAGTTGGTCTAGATTATCTTCATCGTGAACTCTCTATAATACACACAGACTTAAAGCCAGAAAACATTTTACTTCTATCGATGATTGATCCAGCCAAAGATCCAATAAAGTCTTGTGCGCCACTCATTCTCCCATCCAGTAAAAACAAGGTTGTCTCAGAGACTGGGTGTTCAAAGGAGACTAGGAGCTCAAATGGTGATCTGACAAAAAACCAGAAGAAGAAAATACGGAGAAAAGCTAAGAGAGCTGCTCAAAGATGTACTGGAAAAGAAGCTTCTGATGAACTTGAGCCAGATAATGAAGTAGGTACTCCTGAACATTCTAATCATGAGGAAAATCCAGATGGGGACTTAAATGATGATCACACTGAGTCTAGATCCCAAGAAGATGTACCCAAAAAAAACAGCGGAAACTTGATAGATGGGAACCAAGAAATTCAGAAACATAAGAGAGGCAGCCGTTTGACAAGGCAGAAGCTGTTAGCTGAAGTGGAACTCAAATGCAAATTGGTCGATTTTGGGAATGCATGTTGGACTTATAAACAGTTCACAAGCGATATCCAGACCAGGCAATATAGATGTCCAGAAGTGATCCTGGGTTCCAAATATTCAACTTCTGCAGATCTATGGTCCTTCGCTTGCATTTGTTTTGAGTTGGCAACTGGAGATGTCCTTTTTGATCCTCACAGTGGTGACAATTATGACAGAGATGAGGTAAAATATGTCCATTTTCTATTAATTGTTTTATTGTGGATATCTCCAAATCTTCTTTCTGTGAGTTGGGTCTGTGATGAACTCCATATGCTGTGGTGCTGCCTGTTTGCATGATAAAAATCTACACAGTGCGGTTGTAAGGGGTTCTGCATCTCGTTGTTGTGGCATTTTTTTCTGTTTGTCATGATGCCAGACGGTCTGTATGAGCACACTAATTGTGATTTGGAAATGTGATTTACTGTCATCATGTGCTTGTAGAAACATGGAATTGACCACTGCTATAATTGAAATTACAGAGGCGAGTTCATGTAAACATTTTGAAGTTGTTATGCACCGATTTAAAGTACAAATAATTTCACTATACTGGTGATTTTTTAGTGTTCACTGTAGGAGTTTGGCTTCATATAAAATAATACAGAGTGCTTGGTATTGTTCATACTGGTATCATGTATGCACACATTTACTTTAAGCAATAGGAAGACTACATTTTCAAGAATAGTAGCCACATTATCTGATGCACTTTACCAAACTTTCATTCATAGCCATTTAGCCACAGCTCATACCACTACGTCTACTTAGATTTTTTTTCCCAAGAATCTATTTGGTATGATCTGTAGCTCTGAAAGCTATTCCCAGTGTTGCAAAGGCTCCCACCTATGGTGGGGTAAGGGGGTCGGATGTACGTAGCTTTACCCCTATTCTAAATCACAGGGAGAGATTGTTTCCGGATGACCCATGATTAAAGTCGCATAAAAAATTGCATGGACTGATCGTTGCTTCATAACAAAAATGCGCAGACAGTTTAGTTAGCCATTTTGCTTTATTCCACAAAAAATATTGAGTCGGCTTCATTGGAAATGATGGAAAATAAAACATTTTAAAAAATTAATTTTTATGGTAATAAAATTATTTTAAAACGATTAATATATATAATCACCAATCATTCTCTGCCTATAATCCTCCATCACTATTCATGTGTGTAAATCTGGTAGCTGACAAGCTGTGTGACCGTGAGGTCACGGGTTCAAGTATCGGGAGTGGCCTCTTGTCAAAGTTACAAGGGAAGGTTTGCTCCTTAAATATTAGGTGTTACTTTTATACCTTTCATAGTGAAGAACATTTAGAATAGTTGCTTTTAACTGTACTCATTCTTTTCCTTTTCTGCTCCAGGACTTATTGGGTAACAGATATTACATATAACATCACAATTAGTAACAAAAACAGGATCCGAATCTCTGCATGCAGTTGAATCAGACCTTTTAATGCAAAAAATGATTCTAAATTCTGAACATGTGATAGCGTGCGTTTCACTGTATCTCTCTTTTCCCTTTGGTATATTAGTGTACCATGTTAATGACAGAGTTTTGAGTTGATGGCATTACTCCAAACACCAGTTAAAAATGATTAATTTAATGTGAAAGAACGAAATGCTAACTTGCTAAGGGGGGCACACGATCAACTTGCATTTCATTGCAGTGTTTTGCATCTCTAGTTCAAAAGTAACGGTCAATATCTGTTATACTGTTAAGTAGTGGTTAATCATCCTCCCTCCCTCTACTTCGTAGGATCACTTGGCCTTGATGATGGAGCTTCTTGGGATGATGCCGCGAAAGGTCAGTTTCTATACATTTTTTCATATCTTCTCTGTTTCTAATAATTACTATGAGGAATAGTTTGGATAGAGGTCTTGGAGAATAAGTTTTGATCTATTATCTCAATAAACAGAATATTTTCAAAAAAAAAAAAAGAATAGATGCTGATGATTAGCATAGCCCTCCAAAATCCAAATGAAATAACAGAATCAGCTATTATTTCTTCGTTTCAATTTAATGATATCTAAAATATTTATCAAGATATAACATAGCCCAATACTGTCAAAACTGACCCTTAGGCTGTAATTAGGTGCATCCTTCTGAAAAGGAAAAACCTTCCAAAAACCGGAGTATGCCATTTATTGCAACGAGCACACACTCTTCTTTAGTATAAAAACATAAGAATAGTTCTTTCTGTGCTGCACGAATGACTATTTTTAAAAATTAGAGAATTATACCCTCAGTGATTGAACTAAAAGAATTTGGCAGTGACTTTTCCTTTGAATAATTTTGGGTTAGTTGGGCTCTGCTGATATGACTTTTTTATGTATGCAGATTGCCTTAGGGGGGCGCTATTCACGGGAATTCTTTAATAGATATGGAGACTTGAGGCACATTAGGCGGTTGCGGTTCTGGCCGATAACTAAGGTGCTCATGGAAAAATATGAGTTCACTGAGAAAGATGCAACCGAGATGTCAGATTTTCTTGTCCCCATACTTGATTTTGTACCAGAGAAAAGACCCACGGCAGCACAGTGTCTTAACCACCCATGGCTAACTGGAGGTCCAACACACCCTGTGCCTTCTCCAGTAGTTAACTCACTTCCACCAGATGTCCCGGAGAAAGGAAACATTATGGAGAAAGATGAGAGGGAAACGATGGAAGCCAGAGTGGGGAATATGGCCATTGATGGAACTACTTCAAAGTCAGCAGCAGGGGGGAAGGCTTCTTCTCAATCTGCGGTTAACACGACAATGAAAATATAGGATTGGTGGTTTACTGATTTCTTTTTAATGAATTGGTATGAGCGGCTGATTTCATTATGATTCTTTTTCGGGATAAGCGGAAATGTTCATGAACAGTTACGGTTGAACTTAGAATTGTTGTAATGTGTACATTTGAGATTCAAGTGGTTTGTGTCAAGTAATACAGACAGTGGGGAAGATGAGAAAATTGATGTTTATCTTTTTGCAAATGCCAAAGCTCTTCCATTAAGCTTTATGCATATAGGTAGAACTTTAGAACAGTAGAAGACAAACAATTTATTCTACATTTTTGTGTCGTATGGTCACATCTATTGTTGAGCTAATGTCCAGCTGCTTCTGATGTTCTATTGTTGCCACAAATACTTGTGTAAAAAAATGTTTCTTTCAATGTAAAAAAAGGAGAGGATTGTATCCATAAATACTGTCAAATTTGAATCTATAAATTGTATCCGCGCTGCACCGCCTGCACGGTCAACCATGATTGATGTACATACACTTGTACACATCTTATACACATCATGTTTGTAAAGTTTTTTTTTTGTCTGTAAACCTGATTCATAGATAATATTTTGTTTGTGCAAAACATTGTCTGTGAATCGATGTTCACAGACAAAAAAAAACTTTCACAGACATAAGTGTGTATAAGAGTGTGTACAAACATCATTTTTGCTGCACGATTGCTACTTGGTCCACCCTTGCTAGATCAGATCATCAGAGTTGGTCAGCTATGATTATTTCAAGGGCAAGTTGGCCAGCTTGATAAGACAGTTGAGGATCGTTGCCTATTTGAGATGGACATGTTCCCGAACTCCCTGTTCCCATTCTGAAAATGATCAGGCCGGCGATTCTAGAATAATTACTAATAATCTTTTATCTTTCCTTTTGCTATCCAGTTCCGGTTCTAAATCCAGATGGTTTCGGTTTGGGTACATTCTTTTTTTAATTAGGTTGAAATATTGAATATGAACTGAAGTTGATTAAGATTTATTGGCTCAACCAACCCGGAACTAGGGGTGGACCGTGCCTGGGTTGGGATGGGGTGGGCTCTGGGTCCTAAATATTTAGGCCCGATATCGGGCCGGGTTTGTACCGGGACTGGGCCTGGTCGGGTCTGATTTTTTTTTTGTCTTTTCGAATTAATTCTCACCCCACCCAGGGGCGGATCTAAAGCTTGCATAGGGGGGCAGCTGCCCCCAATAAAGTGTCAATAGTTACCTAGAATTTATTAGGAATTTTTTAATTCAGATAATTGCCCCCAATAAGAAAAATCAAATGCCCCCACAAACCTACCCACCGAACTCGAGTCAGCCAGAATAAAATAACTCGATGAAGCGGTAGTGCCCAGATGTCAAAATAATACTCCATGTACATTTGAGCTTTCATAGTTTCACTAAATAAAGTGTTGAAGTATATTTTAGATGATGTTTAGATATAATAAATAAACAATATAGTTTATCCTAATTTATAAGTTAGAATTAACAATCAAAAATTTACAACTAACTACAAATAGTTTTTTCGATTTAAGAATTAAGAAACCCATATAAAATATAAATTTTACATGGCTACCACTCTGGTAGAAGGTTTAAGATAGGGGTGGACTCGGGCCGGGCCAACCGGCCCGGAACCGGACCGGCCCGCCACTGTGCGGGCCCGGACCGGCCCGGGAACCGGTTCGTTGGGCGGTTCGGGCCACCCGGCCCGGTGGATTCTCGGTTCGGGCTCGGGCCCTTCAAAAGGTGAACCGGCCCGGCCGGTTCGGGCCCGGGCCGGGCCAATTTTTTTTTTTTTTGAATTTTTTTTGAGTTTTTGGGTTGGGCTGGTTATTTTGGGCCATTTGAGGTGGTTAAGGTTGGTTTGGGGGTGAGGGGGAGGGGTGGGGGTTAACTAGGAAAAGCCCCAAAAAAAAAAAATACCCGAGGCCCGGCCCGGACCCGGGGTTTACCCGGGCCGGTTCCGGGCCTCCCCTTCTTGAACCGAGGCCCGGCCGGGCCCAGGCCCGAACCGGCCCGAGTCCACTCCTAGTTTAAGATATATAAAGAGACAAAATACATTAGTTATAAAAAAAAACATTACATTATTTATTAGATTTTATGGACATTTTTTGAATAATATTTCTCAATATGCTATTTCTATTCCTCAAGAATTGGTGATCAATTTCTGAGTAATTATTTTGTTTAATTTGCTTTATAGAAAGTGATGGAGTATATAGCCCAGTAACCCCCGACCCATAGACTCCTACTATTCTAAGGAAGGCCTAATAGGCCCAGGAAGCACAGCAGGCCCAAATCACAGTGCCCCAAGTACTGAGCAACCCACGTGGCACACTTGGGGTGCCTTCGGCCCCCTGGCCGAAGGCTCCAAATTTTCACAGAATGGCCAACTCAAGCAAACAAAGTTATTTGGAGAAAACGGCGAAAATCAATAGCCCTCGGCACCCGGAGCCCTCGGCACCCGGAGCCCTCGGCACTGAGGGGGTTCCCGGTACTCAGAGCCCTCGGCTAATCATCTGCAACCGAGGGCACCTTCCTCGACATAATATCCTCTCCACATGCGCCTGGATCACCGTACCAAGTACAACGTCACATCCAACAGCCGCATTTAATGCGGCCACATGCGGATGCCAGTGCCACCCCGTTGAGGTGACCCCTCGACCACCAGAATGATGACACGTGTCCCTATCTGGCATTTATTACTACTATAAATAGCTCCCATTTTCCCCATTTGTAATCCAAGCGAAATACGCTCACTACTTTCTCAGCAATATACTCTCTCTCTCTTACTTATGCTCTGACTTCTCTCTAGTTACTCCCCGTAGTAACCCTTCGGATACATACCCCCGGGTAGACTATCCGCCAGAAAGATTTGTATTTGAATCCGTCGCAAATCAAATTATAATGGATCGCTTTCAAAAGACAAAAACTCGAATAGAGCAGATGTGATTTAGGGGATATTTGTATCTGATTCTTAAAACTGCTTATGCTCCTTCAGGGAACAGAAGCAGAAGTTGAAGTATTTGGGTGAAAGTGCAAAAATGATTCTGGTGCTCTAATTTATTCCTAGAATCATTTTTTTAGAAGCTGAGAGTGAGCAGCTTCTGAAAAATGATTCTTATTCTGCTTATGCTTTAAAAAAGAAGCAGAAGCAGAACCATTCCAAACACCCCCTTACTCTTTTAGGGTTTTTATATTGTAATATACTTTATATAGTTTGAAAATTCTCATGTTCTTTATTACTACCTCCGTAACCCTAGAATCTTTCCAATTTGACTCTTTTGAGTCAAACTTTATAAACTTTGACCATTAATTATTTCATATACCTCATTGTAAAACATATTATTTGAATGCTAATTTATTATGAATTTTATACATATAGATATGTAGATATTAGAGTCAAAGTTCAACTTAGAAGACCGTGAAAAGTCAAAATGGGAAGATCTTTGTGTTACAGAGGTAGTAAAAGGTTTTGCTATTCAAATATATTGTATTTTTTTTTTGTACGTCAATGTTACTCTGACCCCAATAGCTCGGATTCCTTGATCCGCCACTGATCCCACCACCACCACCACCACCACCACCCCCAAACTCCCAGCCCCACCCACCTAGAGGCCAGCCCAATAGGAAAAATTAAAAAAAAAGTAATTAGGCTCGGAACTCAGCCAGGTCCTGAGCCGGGCCCTGGGTCGGTTCGACCCGTCCCAGTCCACCCCTGCTCGAAACCTGATTGGTATTGTCGATTCTGGTTATTCTTTACTGGACTAACTGCACACCACTACTACCCTAGAAGTAGGGTTGGACTCGGGCCGGGTCGGGCCCGAGCCGGCGGTTCTATATAGCTGGACCCGGGACCGGCCCGGGTAGCCACCGGGTCCGGGCCTCGGGTTTGGTTATTTTTTTTTTTTTGCTTAGCTACCCATCCCTGACCCCCCCCCCCCTCACCCCCACCCCCAAACCCCTCCTAGACATCAAGCCCAACTCGGTGGAGCCCAAACAAATGAAAAAAACCCAAAAAAAAAAAAATTGGCCCGAACCAGGCCCGGGCCGGACCTTGTTATGGGTGACCCGAGCCCGAACCGAAAACCCACCGGGTCAGGCCTACCCGGACCGGAAACCCACCGGGTCGGGCCTACCCAGACCGGTCACTGACCGGGCCACCGGTTCGGGCCGGAACAGTACCGGTCCCGGGCCGATTCCGGGTCGGGCCACCCGGCCCGAGTCTAACCCTACCTAGAAGTATTATGCAAGGAAATGAAAGCCATGACAACTACAAGTCTGCAATTGGAATTTCAGTGAGCTCCCAAAGCTCCCAAAGAACTTCTGGGTTAGGTCATTGCTGTGGGTCAGCCCCTCTAGAAGAAATAGAGGAACTGAAATCTTAATCGGGTAAAAAAGTTTCTTATCTTGGGCATCTCTTCCAACAAAATCAGAACAAGAAACAATTGCTTCCGGTCATATTTTGAAGTAGGGATGGACCCGGGCCGGTCTAGTTCCGATTCCGGGCCAAGCCCAGGCGGGCTTTTTTTCCAGATACTTGGGCCCAGAACCGGCCCAGGTTGATACCGGGTTCAGGCCAAGCCTTGTTCAATGTATAATTTTTTTTCTGGCTTTCTTGTTATCCCCCAACCCCCCAACCCCCAAACCTCCTCAAAACACCCAACCCTACCCAAGGAAAAGAAAAAAAATTGAAAAAAAAAGGTCCAGAACGGGCCCGAACCGGCCAGTCCAGTTCATATAAGTAGGTCCGGAACCGGCCATCCGGGCCCGTACAGCAACGGGTCAGACCGGTTCCGGTGCGGTCCGACCCGGTTGGATCCATGCCTATTTTGAAGGAATTAGAACTGGTTGGACTAGGGGTGGACACGGTCTGGCAGTCCAGCCTGGTACAGAACCAGGTTTGGCACTGTTTTGGACCGGACCGGGTCCATTTTTCCAGTCCCGATTCAAGGCCAGGTACCTGACCAGGTAACCGCTGGGCCAAGTCTTGAGTTTGAGTTTTGGGGACCAGACCGGGCAGTCCCGAGACTGATTTCGATCCCAGCCCAACCTTTTTTTTGCCTTAACAACCGGATGGGGACCGAACCACCCAGGACCCAGGTACTCAAAACTGGCACTGACGAGAAGTGGGACCGAATAGTTGTTTGGTCCAAAATAGGATGGGTTCAAAAACGAAAACCGAATCCAAGAAAACCGAATAGTTGTTTGGTTCAATTCCGGTTTTGACCTTTCAAAACTGAACCGGAAAACCCTAACCTGCCCGGCTGCCCTATTCCAGAACCTGTTATGGTCTGGAACCTAGAAACGGGCACCGGTTTGATGCATTCAGATAACAAAAGTTTCTTGTAGAGCATACACACAGCAGTCCATAAAATGCAAAAGGTGCGTAAGGGATAAATTAATTACAAATCCCGAGAATCTTCGTCTACTCTTCCTTGTTTCCAATTTCCCCCAAACAAATGGTTGATAGACATACATGTTACTTAGTGCAGCTATGGACACAACAAACTACCATAACAAGTTGTTTTATGCGGTTGTTACTCTATAACTGGCCCCTTATGACTACGCCTGAGAGATGGGTAATGCAGTTCTGACAAATGAAAAGCTCCATCAATCCACCTTGGATATCAATGTGGCTAAAACTTTGTTGAAGTGCCGATCTGAGTCGGGGTCGGATCTTCCATTTCAATGGTTGAAAGCATGCAAATGGAATACAGTTTGGGTAACTCATCCCATGATCCCATGCAATAGTGTCACCACGTAGAAGTAGGAAGCACACCCTCCTGCTGTGCTCTATGAAAAAAGCATCTTAAGTTCTTCGATTCGAGCGGTGCGGACTTCTTGGTCTGTAAGTGCCCCCGAAATCATTCGTTGCTTCCTGGCTTGCACTGCCTCCATTCTCTCCTCAACAGTTCCCTGCCCATACATCACTGTCCATTAATTTCTTAATTTTATAAGCAATACCACTCAAACCTCTCAAATATTTTGGATATTTACACTTCTTATCGCATTATGAGAAAATTTAATCTACATCTTCCATATTTCTGATCATTGGTTACCCTAATTTTAGGCAGTGTTTCTAAATATCCCAAATTCAAACAGGCCTTTGTTGCCATTATTTTAAGATTATTACAAAAATACCACCTTGCAATACTAGCCATTGATTGGTAACATGAAAATGTGAAGATCAAATGTTCTCATGTGTAAACGTGTGCTTATGAAGACTTGTTCAAATAAGACCCCCCAGGACCTATAAATACCTTTACAATAAACCTTTTTATTGTAACTTTTTTGGTTTGTCCAATACGATGAACTCGCATTACAGCCTGTTCCTCCACTGCAGGATTCCACCACGGATCCTATACAATATAATATCAATGCTTACCACGATGCACATAAAAACAGGGGTCAATATGAGAGGCATATCAATAAAGGGGAAATTTGGAAGGGAAGACAACATCAGAGAAATAGATTGTCAAACATAACAAATCAATTTTACTTGCTTGTTCAAACTCATGTTATTCATATGTATCAATTCACTAACAAATCCGCATACAAGCAAAAGCTTAAAAATTTCTAATCAAATTAAAAGATTCTAATAAAATTTTAAAAATTCATTTGCGTTTCCCAGTCAAAGCTTAACATAATAAAAGCTATTCGCCTTGGCATTTTCCCTTTTCCCTACGAACTTCCACATTCCAAACATATCCTTAATCTTTGTACGAATAAGGGCTTCATAATACATCTGTCAAAAAGATTGTCAGCCCTACTTCATAATTATTTGAGAACAAAAATATAAAAAATCAGTACTTACCAAGACAAAGGCATTGCAAGCTGCTGTAAGGTTTAATCCAACACCACCAGCCTTCAACGACATCAGCAACACCTACAGAGTTTGAATCAAAGAATAAAAACAGTGACAAAAAACATCTATCCCCCTATAGTCAAAGAGTAAGTGAAAGACAAGTACCAGAACACTTTCTTCTTCTGAAAATGTTTTTATTACTCTCTCTCGATGTTGCTGGTTTAATGTCCCATCAAGGCGAAGGAAAGGGATACCTTTTCTGCAGATATATCAGGTAACATGTCCACTTCAAACAGGCATGAAAACTGAGTGGTACTGAGTGTACTGCCAAAAGAAATATTCCCTCTGCCAAAACAGAGTCCCATTTGAAGGTTTGTTTTTTAACAGAAGAATCTATTTTTCATTATATAAAAAAATAGGTCCAAAACAAGTCAAGTGTGTTAAATTTATTTAGTTGTACTTTGGTAAGTAACACGAGTTTTGTGGGACAGACTGAGCCGACAGAAGTAACTGAGAAGAGAAATACATAAACAAGGAAAGGGCGTCCACACCGAGCAAGGGCAATTTGAAGGAGGTCCAAAAAGGCAGTCCACTGGCTAAAGACAATGCTTTTGGAGTTGAGAGTACGAAGTTGTTCCAATTCATACAACAATGCAGTAACTTTAGACGATTCCACCCAATTTTTTTCTATATCTATCTGAAAACGGCTATCTGTTGGTGCTGTGATCAGTTCCTGCTTGCAGACAGTCTTTCTACAAATTGAAAAAATTAAATCTTGGGCGCATTTCAAAGGTTCTATAGTAAGCCATGTCTAATCTGATATATACACACATAAAGTAGTGAGAGATACCTACAAACAGGACAAAACCCAGATGTGGAACTTCTCCAACTTGCTAAGAGACACTCTCGACATAATCGGTGGGCACATGGAGTCAACACAGCATCTTCGAAGGCTTCCAGACAAATTGGGCACTCTCCTTGTTCTCCGTTACGTAAATCTTCTACAACCTCTTGAACATAAGCTCGTGATGGAACATCTTGGTGTTCTCTTGTGTTCTTCCGGCCACTCTTAAGAAAATGTTTGGCAAGCTTATTCAAATCCGAGAATTCTTGAGTATCACCTCGACTGTAACGTAAAAGAAGTGTGGAAAAACCATCAGCAAGGGTTTCATATGAAAATTTTCAGAGAGAGTGTCTAGCTGGCTGTGTACTATGATATACTCCCACCATTCTCAAATAATTGTCAATTAAGAAAAACATGTCAAAAGTGATAAACATACCCCTATTGATATGTAGTTGTCAAAAGTGAAATAAATATGAGTGAAACATAGTCATAAATATGATTTACCGGTTGCTAATTGCCAGTTATTACTATGCACAAGGCACTTCTAGTTAATGAACAGATACTTGAGAAGAGATGGAGCATTCTAAAAATTGTAACGACCAACATAAACAAACAATTATGGGTCCAAGAAAATATAAGTGTTCATGCTATAGGGTGTATGATATTCATTATCAAACCTCAACACAAGAAATGGATGATCACAGCATTGACGGAGTCGTAAAAGCAACTCCAAAATAGAAGCATAATTGTGTAGAACCCGCCCCTGCTCAACAAACTGATTGAACTTCACCTGAAGGAATTGCAGCCAATAATTTAACATTCTTTTTGGCTTTTCCTCCCACAAAAATGAATACAATTTATCATAAAACTAAAGTGCACCACCTTTGATCGTTTAAACAGGGCCTCATAAAAGTCCTTTTCTGCTTCTGTAAGTTCACAATAAATTACTTGAACATCTGCTGGTGGAAGAACTAGAATTGGCCTACATCATAATTATAAATAAAAATAAACTTAAATGTTGCATAAGAAGCAAGTGATACTAATCAACAACAAAATAAAGTAAAGAAAGAAAATGTTTTACAACAGAAATGAGGCCTACCTGCCTTCTCGATCTGTGCTAGACTTTGTTCTTCTTAACATGATTGGTTTAAGAATTGACTGAACAAGTCTCAACCCTCTTTCATCTCCCTCCTCAAATGGTTTCTGAACAAGCTCATTCCACCTGAACAAATACAGGCAAGTGGTCAAGTATGGAAAATTGATTAGGACATTAGAAAGAAGAAACCAACAAATGTTGGTTTAGATAGTAATGTACCATTCATTAGCTATTACAAATTTAGATGTATCTCCATTTTCAAATGCAACACACGTAATGTACATAAAATATTTATGAAAGTATATTGATTCCTTTAAATGTAAAGTGCAAGGGTGACAGCATTTATAAAACAACAGTAGACTCCAAAAAGAACTGCCACTAACAAGGGCATGCAGTAAATTATGTTACATTACACCTCACTAACATAATAAAAATCAAATCTGATTACAAAAGTAAGTGCTATCATACCACGCCCAGCTTCCCCATGGTTCAACCCTCAAATATCTTAGGAGGCTGTAAAGATCCTCAACATTATTCTGTCACACAAAAATAAACAAGACCCTAAGTCCCACGATGAAAAGAAAAACTGTCAAGAATAGAATCCTAGAGAAGCAGCAGTAAAAATATCATTACAGAGATCATTAAACCAGCTTATCCAAATTGTAAATTTAAATAAACTCTAAGCTAATGCAACAATGAGTAGAATTTTTACACATTAATCACAGGATTCACAACATAATTCAATCAGTAAACTAAGTCGAATGGTAGTAGCACCTTCATAAAGAGAATGTCGAAGTTCAAAATTAATAAGAAAATAGTTGGTCAAGTAAGTTCCTTAAGAGTTGTTAAAGGTTTTATGATTTTTTCCTTCTTATTGAAAGTCAGAAGTGAAAACTAAATAACTCTTCATAAAATCATAACTCAACATAGAAGTTAAAATAATAACTTGATGTACAGAATGTTCTCTAAACGGATACCTGGATGGGCGTGCCAGTAAGACACCACCGGCGCTCAGCAATAAGTGCAGATGCAGCAAGAGAAATTTGGCTTTTAGTAGATTTAATGGTATGTGCCTCATCAAGGACCACTCTAAACCATCTAATCAAGAAAAGCCCCCCATTCTCCTCAACTTTCTGCAGTAAAGAAAAACATATAAAAGATATTATAAAAAGGATATATGTATAGCAGCTCTCAGCATAAGATAACAAGATCTACATTCTACAACTTAATGAAAATTACCAACTGTATACAAAACTATACACTCAAAGAAAGTAAGAAACGCAAAACACATAACTCCACAGTCCACTGTCCACATGCCCTCCATCTTTATACAAAGGAGAGAGGGTGAGGCGTGTGAGAGTTGAATGAAGAGTCTATAGTACCTCGGCAGAAAATTCTGATGCCAAAACTCCGTATGTTGTTAGTACAACATCACTTTGAGCAATAACTTTTGGATCCTTTGATCTGCTTTGTCCATAATGAAGATAAATACTTAATGTGCCAGGGTGTGAATGCATTTCAATCTCTGCCTAGTACAAAACAAATACTTTTAGTCATTTGAATAATTATAGGTTCTATAGGACCAACTGTTTTGAATGACATGCTCTTAAGAAAAGGATAAAAGATGTACCTTCCACTGGCCTAAAAGTGTCATAGGACATACAATGAGATTACCACCAGATGTCAGTTCGGTTTTTTGTTTCAAAAACTTCTTAAGACCAGTAAATCCTGCTGATTTCTTTGAAGGAGCTGAAGACTGATATGACAAATTACTGTTTTCACCATTTTCATGTGAAGACTGGCTTGTTGATTGGCTTCCTGATGATCCACCTCTTTCAGTGCAACTTAAAAGAAGAGATATAGTCATTATAGTCTTCCCTAGTCCCATTGAATCTGCCAAAATCTTCAATGTTTTTTTCTCAAAGTCAAAGACTGAAACAAAATTGAAATGGTGTGACATAGTGGAAACATGAAGCAAAAGAAACAACATACTCCGCCCCTGGCCATTTGGAGAGTGCTTGGAAATTCTGTGGTTGCATCCCCAGAAAAGGCATTCAAGTAGATAACCCGGTCTCTCCTAACAATGAAATTGTTGTTACAAACATATAATCAAACTAGATAGCAATTGCATATTGAAGCAAGATATACTTGTCTGCAAGGTGATATGCGTCCCAACACGGATGCAAAGTTGTTTCTGCATCATTTACACTGTGTATCCGCTCGAGTTGAGTCATCCAATGAAGAGCCTGTTTCTGATAAGGACGTAATTCACACTGAAGTGTACTCGGAGGTTCCATTTCCTAAAAAATGAGGATCAAAATATGTGATGCATTTGAATACCAAATTGAACAAAATAAGCATTTATTTCGCAGGCCGCAGCATTACAAAACGGGCATGTACCTGTAAGTCAGAGCTGTTAGCAGAACCCACAATATTTTCCAGATCAGTATCTGAAATTGTCTCGTCACCTTCGGCTTTACCTTCATCCAGATCCAATCTTTTGCCTTTGTTAACACGCAATGATGGGGTGAGAATGCGAGAAGTGTTCTGTAAACACCAAAACGAAGTGTGAAACACGGGATTTTGGACACTAGCATCTCAAGCTCTCCTCATCAGACGTACCATACAAAAAAAGCAATAAGTTTTCAAAGTTTACCTCTTCAGTCAAACGACGCTTCCTTGTGTACAGATCACCTGGAGTAAATTCTGCCTAATAACATTTAAAAGAATAAATATTTCTCACACTTTTGTTTCTGAAACAATGCACACTTCTATGTAGAAAGCAGAAGTTCAAACGAAAATTGTCACCTTCTTGAAAGGAGCAAGTCCTAGCAATCGGAACAATGATGGGAGGGGATAGACAGTTGATTCATCTGCCAAATTGTTGCTGGCCACCTTGAGAACGGTCTTATGACTTTTACAGAACATGGAACTGTTGATATACACACTGCGTAGATAATCAAGACTTGAATGAAGCACATCCCATAAATTTGTTGTTTAAAAATGTTAAGTCAAAATTCAAAACAGGTAAAAAAAGGTTTTATCAACTTTTGGCACATCCCATATATATTTTAGTATAATAATATTAAAAAATATTACAACTGCATGTAATTTTTAAAAGTCAACAAAACTGATGAGAAAAATTTGATCATCAAAATATTACCTGACCGCCAAAACTACTGTGTCCATGATCCCCAGCTCATTAGGCGCGGATTTACAGCACCCCTCAACCTTGACCTTATTATCTCTCACAAGTGGCAAGAGACATCGAGACCATTCAGTTGGAATTCTCCCGATCTGTTTGAATCATCACAACATACAGCATAAATCAAGCTACATGACATATCACAGATTCACCATAAAGTAGAGTATCAAACCAAAGTGGCATATCACATCAGCACGGATAGTTCAGGATTTTTATGCTAGGAAAAGAAAGTGGTTACCTTTCTTGACTGTAATTTTTTAATTACCTTATTGATTGATAATGGTGTAATCCTATTTATGCAGTTTAAGCTCCAAGTGAATATTTCCATGCATTATAACCCCACTTCAGTCGTGTAAGTTAATCTTTGCTACTATTGTATACTACAAAAATATACTCACTCCATCCCATTCAAAGGTTCTCACTTTCCTTTTTTGTACGTCCCATATAAAGGTTCTAATTTCTGTTTTAGGAAACAGTTAACACTCTTAAATGACAATTGTCATTTAATCATCAAATATTAAAAATAATACATTTATAACATCACGGTTATCATCAATGACCCCATTGTATTATATACTCATCAAAACTATTTCTCAAAATATATTTGAATAACCTTATTTAATTATTATTGTCTTAATAATCATGTCATTTTACAATGGGAATCTTTAGGCGGGACAAAGGTAATATAGTAAAAGATATAACTAGAATAAATATCAGTTTTGTTGTCAAGAAAATTGGTGTCCCTATCACTATGGTTCCTCAACTCACAAGTTACTCATATAAGTTTTGGGGCAAGATTTTCATTCTTTATCAACTGGTGGTCCTTTTGGGAACATTCCATTGAAAATCGCCTGGAATTTCAGCTAACGTCTGAGTGATTTTCACAGGAAATGTGATAATAAGGCCGAAAGTGATAGGGCCACAAAACTTGTGCAACAAAACTGAATTTTTGCAGTAACATGAAACTAAATTAGTACCTCTCCAAGAGCCTTTGAAGAGAAACGCACGATTTCAGAGCAAGCAACCATATGTCGACCTCGGCCAAGTTTCCTAGTGGATTGAGAATTCAATTTCTTCTCGGTCGGGAAAGTAAAATAGACTTCATCTCCTGGTTTTATATTTCTACCCTTACATGTTGACATCCCCGCAACTTCACCAATGCCCACAAGCCACCACTCACTCCCCATCTTACCCCCATCGCTGTCTCCTACGTTCCCATCATTTGAAGTCGTACCACGTTCACATTTCTCACTTTCATTACTGCTTCTTCTTACATTTGAACCTACACTTGGAACTGACCTTGTACTAAGATTGGGTACCTCGAAAGCTTTCTTAAATATGGACTTTTTGAAACTCGGGGTGTCAAAAATGATGTTGATTGCTGCCGTTGCGTCGTTATTCGCCATATGAAGGGCTCGAATTATGTCCATTTCCGTGTACTCATCCCCGACCACAGACCGGACCGTAGAGAGGAGTTCTTCGTCGACTTTATTACCCATTACTTCAGGATCTACAGGGAATTCTTCCGATTTATTAGGAGTTGAGATGATGTTCTGCAATATTTGGACTAAAATTTAATTTTTTTAGAGATTCGGATATTTTCCTGCGTAAATTCTCAAACTTGAGTCTGGGTTCAAGAGAAAATTTTGAAACCCTAGAAAAGTTTCGCGCTGTGAAGGTAAAGCATATTACCCGCCATTCGTGTCTAACAAGAGTCAAGAGTGAAGAATCTGCACTATTTGCATTCCGTGTGTCAATTATTGAACGTTACATGTTGAGAGTGGTTTTGTATCCTCTATTTTTTTTTATAATACAGGTGTCGGGTTTTACGCTCTCATAATCCTGAAATCTATGAACTATCCTCCAAACCCCTTAGACAGTTAAGTTCGGATCTGATCACAGTCAGTCTCGTGAATGTAGGAAGAATAATTGGGAGCAAGACCTCCTTCCTCTTCTCTTAAGAAATAGTGCACTCCCGGGGTGAAGGATACATGATTTATACTTCTTAAAAGGCATGTGTTAACAAGTGAATGGTGTAGTGTAGTGGTTTACATACATGCCTTTCTTGTGTTCCACCCAGGTTCGAATCCTGTTGGTTTCAATTTTTTTCTATATTTTAGAAGCAGCTAAACTCTCAAAATTGATGACATGGAATTGATGGGATGATGTGGATAAGCTTATGTGGCGCCCCTCAGTGATACTGAGGTGACATGGCAAAAAATACCCCTATTTGGGAAATAAGTTTAAAAGTACCTTAGTTTGGGAAATAAGTTTGAAAAACACCCCTCCATGGGAAAAAATACCCCTATTTGTATCCTCTATTTTTTTTATAATACAGGTGTCGGGTTTTACGCTCTCATAATCCTGAAATCTATGAACTATCCTCCAAACCCCTTAGACAGTTAAGTTCGGATCTGATCACAGTCAGTCTCGTGAATGTAGGAAGAATAATTGGGAGCAAGACCTCCTTCCTCTTCTCTAAATGTGCCTAGCGGGATTCGAACTCGAGACTTCCGTCAGGACACGGTAACCTTCCACCCGGTGAACTGGAATGGTTGGTTTGGTTTTGTATCCTCTAATTCGTACACTACGGATTCAAAGAACATGAACGGATAAATGATTTTGGGAGTTTTTTCCAAGAAATATAGTTTTCAATCTTATTTCCTAAAAATGAGGTAGTTTTAAATTTATGGAAAATTTTAGAGTGCATCCGCATTACAGAATGTTTCGGTGCATTTGCCACCCGGCACAAATGTATTTCTATTTATTTCACGTTGGACCAATCAAAATGATGTAGTTGAATTATTTAAATCTAAATTAAAAATGATGTAATGATTTGAACCAATAAATGAGTGGTATGTACGGTACCCCATTTTTTAAATGAGTACCGGAGTTGTCACCTCATCAAAAATACATTTAAAATTGCATACTCCCTCCGTCCCAATTTGATAGTCTCATTTCTTTTGGGCACAAGTTTTAATAAAATGGTTGAAAAGGTAAAAATTGTGGTTGAGATTTGAGTATAATAAAGTGAAATGATATGGATCACATCTTTCTTTAAAAAAGGGAAACATAATCATCATTTTGGGACATCCCAAAAAAGAAATACAGGACTATTACTTTGGGACGGAGGTAGTACTAGTTAATCCCTTCGGATAATAAGAACATGAACTATGTAACAAACAAGGACAATATGTGATCGTTCTTGAGGTCTTCCGATTCAATTTATCGAAAGCAAAGAAATCATGGCTACAGAAACAAAAAAAAATAGGTTTTTATTGGTTTTTCATCAATTGCTATACCGTGGGAGCAACCCACGGTGAGCATGCTGCTCTCATAGCCAAAAAAACGCATGTTACTGTTCACGCGTGAACAATAACTTTTTTTTTGTTTTTTTCGGTGTCCAGTAGCAGAGTGATGTTACTCACGTGTAAAGAAATGTAACTCACGCTAATAAGAAGTGTAACTGCAGGCAAGTCAAAATTTAACTTGTCTAATACGGACTATAATAAATAAAACATTGATTTCCTTGAAAACAAAGAGTCTAATTGTTCAATTACTTTATGTAAATAGTGAACATGTTTTGTTTTTAATATTAAAGCCATAAATAATGTTTTTTCCTTAAAATCATTATTTTTTGCCAAAAACTCATTTTTTCGCAAAAAAAAAAACATTGTTTTTCTTGCAAAAAAAATCGTTTTTTTTCTTGCAAAAAAATCGTTTTTTTTTTGTTTCAATAGCATGGGTTTACTCAAATAGTGAATATGTTCTATTTTTAATAATGAAGGCGGAGTTTTTTTTTAATTAGTTTTTTGCCAATGAAATCAATTTTTGCCATTTTTGTTGTTGCAAAAAATGAATCCAACTTTTTTAATTAGTTTTATGTTGCGATGTAACTCATGTTATAGATAATGTAACCCACGTTGATGAAAAATCCAACTTAGGTGAATGCAAAATTTAACTTGTTAAGGTAAGTCTAAATGTAAGTCGCGTATAGGAAGATGTAATTCACGCATAAAAAGATGTAACTCACGCATAAGAAGATGTAACTCCATATATTATCAAATGTAAACAATGACAACAAGGAGTCTAATTGCTTAATTTTTTATGTAAATAGTTAATATGTTTTGTTTTTTGTATTAAGTCCATAAAAATGTTTCAAAGATAAGTAATATTTTTCCAAAAAAATCATTTTTTTGTCGAAAAATCATTTTTTTTCAAAAAAAAAACCATTTTTCTTTGCAAAAAAATTGATTTTTTTGGTTTCAATGGCTGGAGTTTATTTTGGGATGCAACTCGTATTATGAAAAAATGTAACTCACGCTAAAGAAAAATCTAAATTAGGTGTATGCAAAATATAGCTTGTTGAGACAAGTCTAAATGTAACTCGCGCATAGAAAGATGTAACTCATGCACAACAAGATATAACTCGTCTATAAGAAGATGTAACTTCATATACTATCACATGTAATTCCATAAATTGTCTATGAACATAACTCACACATATGAAAAATGTAATATAATTTCATGTTTTATGAAATTTAAATCGAAAAAAAATTAATGTCTTAAAAACACTAAAAACATATCAAAGAGATAAGAAATATATTCGTTTTTGCAAAGAGATAAGAAATATATTATAGAAAAAAATTAATGAACACGAAATATAAAAAATATTACAAAAAATATATTCTATTGTAATTTCAGTTGAATATAAAAATTAGAAAAAATGTATATAAAATACCACATACTTATTTTATGTGGATTAATAAAATTTTGTAATGATTTGATAGAGAAAAATAAAAGTTAAATTGTATTTAATTAGTTAAAGATAAAAATAAGTAAACTCACAAACAAACTTTTAGTATTTTAATGTAAAAGAGAAAAGAATTGAAGAAAATAGAAAAGAAAAATAAAGAGATAGAAAGTAAAAACCTGGAGCAAAAAGAAAGAAAACTTTCGTAACAGGCAAATTATACCGTGCAACCGGCGCACCATGAGGATTGTGCGCCCGGTTGCAAAACGACGCAGCATGTTTTTTTTTTGCTTTTGTTGTTAAAAAATGATAATAACTTTTTTATTTTTGATCCTATTTTTATAAAAAAATTATCAACATTTTTTATTTTTCATGATCTTTAAATGAGACCAATATTGCTTGTGTAATTTTAAGAAATTATCGAACTATTATATTAATGAGTATTGGATTATAAGGAAAATTGAATCTGTTTGGAAGATGATAGGTTTGTGAAATAGAAGATCGAATCTGTTTGGGAGTGGATCAGTGGCCTCAGTTACATTTGATAATACATTGAGTTACATCTTTTTATGAGCGAGTTACATCTTTTTATAAGCAAGTTACATCTTTTTATAAGCGAGTTACTTATTTTTATAAGCAATTTACATCTTTTTATAAGCGAGTTACATATATATACACACGAGTTGCATTTGACCTTCTTGAACGCGACTTACATATATTTACACGTAAAGTTACATATTTTTACACGTAAAGTTACATATTTATACACGCGAGTTACATATTTATACACACGAGTTGCATTTGACCTGTCTGAACGCGAGTTACATATTTTTTTACGTAAAGTTACATATTGTTACACGTAGAGATACATATTTATACACACGAGTTACATTTGGCCTGACTGAACGTGAGTTACATATTTTAACACGTAAAGTTACATATTTTACACGCAAATGTTAATATGTTAAAATTACATAGACAATATTGATCTCATTTGAAAGATCATGAAAAATGAAAAAAAGGTTGATATAAATTTTATAAAAATCGGATCAAAAATAAAAAAGTTATTATCATTTTTAAAAAAAAAAGAGAAAATAATATTCAATGGGTGCATGGTGCTCACCATGCACCCGTTGCACGGTATACACACTCTTCGTAACATTAGATTGATGGGTACCATATGGGATAATATCTGATGGGTGCATGGTACTAACATGAGACCGGAAAGAGAAAAAAGGGTAACATATGGGGATATGGTGGGCCGATCCCTAGTTAGGAGTCTTGCTAATCATCTTCTTGCTTTCGGATTCTTCAAACTCGCCTCTTCCTCCTATTCATGATTTTTTTTTTCGAAGCTTTTTCTTAATTGAATGAGCAACCCATGTTAAAAATGAACACCGGATCCAATTCTTTACGTCGTTTTATACTCCGTATAATTTAGCAACCTAATAACCTCATATGATTGTGTCTGATCATAAACTATAAGTGCAGGATTTTAGACTTTTGTTCCTTTATTTCGGATTCTTGACGGATCATCTTTCCCATAATTGTTTTTGGCCAAAAATACAGTTTCAATTAAGTTTTGAGAAAGTTTTTGATTGCTATCGGAGAACTTAATAAACCATTATTCTATGTATTTCAGTTATTTTAATTAAAGGAAACGAGTATGTAAAAATCGAGTATAGAATTAGGGTAAATATTACTTAAAGTACGAAGATTATAAAATGGAGTACTTGAGGAAGATGAAGGAAAATCCGAAGAATGCAGAGAAGATAGAAATATATGTCTACAATAGGAGGTGGCGTGCAAAAGTGAAAGGATAATTAATTTTTTAATTGTATAATTTATTTATAATTAATTTAAAGATAATTGTGATAGATAGTATATCCGGGGATACCACTGGAGTATCTAGAGAGATGTTAGAACAAGTAAGAGAGAGAGTGAGGGTACACGTGTCAAACAATCAGCGATGGATGGTCAACTCAGTCAGGGTGGCGCCGACATAGCATGTGGCCGCATTCAATGCGGCGGTTTGGATGTGACGTTGAATTTAATGCGGTGATTCAGAGCATGCAGAGAGAAGATCTTGTTGGGGTAGTGTCAGAGGCCGTACGTACCCCGGAGGCTTTCATGTGCCGGAGGCCGTACGTAGTCGGGGACCGTCATGTGTTGGAGGTCGTACGTAGCCGGAGGCCATACGTAACCTGGAGGCTTTCATGTGCTGAAGGACGTACGTAGCTGGGGACCCTCATGTGTTAAAGGGCGTACATAGCTGGATATCGTCATGTGCTGAAGGACGTACGAACTCAGGGACCTTCATGTGCTGAATGACGTACGTAGCTGGATACCGCCATGCGCTGAAGGACGTACATACCCCGGAGGCTTCATGTGTCGAAGGCCATACGTCCTCGGGGTCCGTCATGTGCTGAAGGACGTACGTCCCCTGGGGCCTTCATGTGCAGAAGGACGTACGTCCACGGGGGCATTCATGTGACGAAGGACGTACGTCCCCTGGGCCTTCGGGTATGGGGCTCAAGGCAACACCTCGTTGTAGTATGGACTGTCCGGAGTCTTGTTTGCTGTGTTTGGGCCACTTTGACTTGTTGGGCCAGATCGTAGTAGTGGAAGTATGTGGGTCGGGAATTCCTGGGTCATATACTCCATCAAATTGTGACATGGAAATATAGAATAGCCACATGGGCAGATGTACCAAAACGTTTTGCAACGTAAATGCACCACAGAGTTTCCCTAAAGTTATTTTCCAAATAAGGGCACTTTTGTCTCGTCATCCGTCATGTCAGCACAATTGTCATGTCCACATATGCCTTGTTAGAACAACGACCACGTCACAAATACCACGTCATCCATTGAAAATAAAAAAGAAATAAGCCATATTATAGTTTTGAGAATGAGACATAAAATTGAATAAGACTAAACAAATTCGTTAATCCCGTAGAAATGTAGACTAATCTATCAGCATTGCCGAATTTGCTATTCAAGTGACAACGAAAATAAACTAACTGTTCGAATAAGAATGGAAATAAATTAATTCAAACATCTCAATTTTTCTAACCACCAAAAGGGAAAAAAAGTTTGACCAGCCACCTCAATGGAAGCTCTCCCAATCTCATGCTTTGACACAATTACAAGCGAGTGCTCTAAGGGCACCGCCTTTTTGCCGTTTTTTGGATCGTCATCGTTTACCTCCATGTTTGCCTTAATCACGTCGCTCTTCTCTTCCTATGATCACCCCGCCTTAAGGCCTTTAGTGTTCTTTCTTTTGGAAAAATAAGAGTCATCATCATTTTCATTTACCCCAGTGCCTCAAAGGCTCCCACCTACGGTGGGGTAAGGGGGGGTCGGATGTACGCAGTCTTACCCATGTACTAAAGCACAGAGAGACTGTTTCCGGATGACTCATAGTGAAAATCCCGTCCAAAATTGCATGGACTGACTGCTGCTTCATGACAAAGAAGCGCAAACAGTTTAGTGAGCCAGTTTAATGGAAAAATAAGAGTATTTCAAATAAATGCTTTACTTCTTTTATTCATATTTTATCATTAAATTTGATCCAATAATTGTTCCCAAAATGATTAAACACCATAGTCAATACTGCATATGTTTCTGACGTGCATCCCTTAATCTCTTGCAACATTGAATAATACTTTGAGCAGTTTTTTTAAAGGGAAAATTGAAAATAATAATCGCAACTATTGCTGGTCCGCTAACAATAATCCCAACTATTGATTATTTTTGTATAATCCCAATTATTGTATGGACCGTCCGTCAATAATGGTCCATGACCAGATATTACCTGCTATAACAAGTAAATTTTAAATAGAAATTAAGCGTAAAAATTAAAAGTTGGAATTATTTATAGGGATTAATTGTATATCTTCTCATCCACTTTAGAAACTATAAGAATTTATTTATAGTCGGTCACGTCGGACCATTATTGGCGGAAGGTCCTTAAAGTTGGGATTATTCTGAAATAATCGATAGTTGAGATTATTATAAGCGGACCGCCAATTATTGGGATTATTACTATCAATTTTAATCCCAAAAATTAAAATTCGAAAAGGGAAAGAAACCATGTATGACATATATTGATCAGGATTTATCTAGACAATTGTCTAGGGCACCCAAACTTCAAGGGCCTCCATTTTTTTAAAAAAAAGTATTATACTATGTATATGTATATTTAATTTAAAATAGAGTCAATTTCCTAAAAGGACTAAAAAGTGGTAATTGTACAAATAGGACTACCTTTTTTAAATCCCCCAATAGGACTATTTACGTGTGTTTGGATAAATATACCCTTGTAGCTTTTCAAATGTTTCATTTAATAATAAAATAATAATATTAATAATAATAATAATAATAATAAAAATATTTAAAATCATGAAAAAATAATAATAATTAACGGAATATTTATAAAAAAATTAAAAACGTAAAAAAAACCCGCCTCTGCCACCCCCAACACCACCATCTCCCATCACCGGAGGAAATCTGCCAACATTTTTAGTAAAGCCATAATGATGGGTGATTCAGTGAAAATTTTGGCATAATGAAGAGTACAAATGCCATCTTTCTGGCATTTTAAAAAAAATGTATTTTTTTCAAAAAGTGGCAAGATTTTCACCGACCGGAGCCTCGGAGGTGGTGGTGCTGGGAGACGGCGGGAAAGGTATCCATATTTTTAAGGGTTTTTACTATTTTTTATTATTATTTTAAAAAAAAAAATTAAATTTGTATTTTATAAATATTAAATAAATTTTTTTATTATTTTTTACGATTTTCAATATTTTTTAAGATTTATTATTATTTTTTATGATTTTATTATGAATTAAAACATTTCATGATGTAATTCATCATGAAATGTAAAAGAGAAGGTAATTCATCATGACTTTAGTACGGGGATATAATACAAGTATAAAATATAAAGGGAAATTTGATATTTTGGTCCCGAAAATTTACTTTATGCCTGTTTTTACTCATGTAACTGTAATTGCTAGTAGATTTGGTCATGTAACTAATAAATTTTTGCAATATAAGAATGTTTTTACTTGAATTGTAATTTGTTGGTCTGGTCTGGTCTGAACTGGTCTGGTTTGGTCTGGTCTGGTTTCTTTGTATTTTTATAACTATCCAAGTCTGGTCTAATCTGGTCTGATCTGGAATGAATTACAGTTCAAGTAAAAACATCCTAAGTACTTTCCCACCAAAGGTACACTTTCTGACAGATAATTCTCCGGAAAATATGCCGCCTGTGTCATTTTTTTTGCAATAAAGTGTACTTTTAGGTGGAAAATTACTTAAACTGAAAGGTTTGTTAGTCAGAGGACTTAATCTGCATGCGAGTAAAGTCACGGAACTAATAATAGGGACAACCAAAAGTTACAGGATTAAAATTGCAAATCTCACAAATATAAAAATTAAAAAGGGATAAGGGTAAGATAGAGTCTCAAACTTGAAAAAAAAGTCAAATAAGGTCATATTTAGGATGCTCTGTCCGGCCGACGCCATTTGGGGCGGTTCCCGGTGGAATTTTTTGATGGAATTTTTTGAGAATCTTATTCATTAAGTCTAGTTTACTCATATCAAATTTGAACTAAAACTTCAATCGGGAAGGCATACAAATGAATTCTTGAAGATAAGTGCGCAGTTATCTTCAAGAATTCCACCGGGAACCGCCCCAAATGGCGTCGGCCGGAAAGAGCATCCTAAATATGGCCTTATTTGACATTTTTCCCAAGTTCGAGGCCTTATCTGACACTTATGCCAATTAAAAACAATGTTGTAGTTTTGGTTGCATTAATGTTGTTATCAATTTTGGACTTAAAAGGCAAGAAAAATAAGGTATTTAAAGTATAAGTTCGGTGGTGCGTTTTGCATATGTTTACAATTACAAAATTATTCTTTTGATATTTTGTTTTGATGATTTTTTATATTCACAAATCGCAATATATATAGTGCACTATAGTGCACTCCGATTGTACTTATTTTTATATATTGTGTGTTTTCATCATCTAATATTAAATTTTAATAATTTTAGTGTTATACAAATCCAAACTGATTTGAGCATACTCTGAGTCTCCGAGGCAAAAACTTGATTCAAGTGTATTGAGGTTTTATTTTTTGATTACAGAAAAAGTTCGTCCATTTTCCCAATTCAAATTTTGACTAGCATTACCAGTTACAAGTGTAGTAATTTACAGACATATCGAACACTTCATCCATTTGGCACAGAGTACAATGGTTTGAATAACATTCACGCCAGCTTTATGGTTTAAAAATTTGCTCACATAGATAAAATATGCAATACAAATATAGTACAGAGTACAAACTAATGACAAGTGTTATGTGTACAAGTATGTATAAGTTTACAAGTGTATAGACCCAAAAAAAACTTTGACTAGGTCAATGCAACCGACTTCGATACCTCTTAGACCTGCTCGACCATGAATGATCGACCAGTTCGACCGGGTAGCAGTGTATCATTCAGTTCAGCTATATACTGTGCACGGGGTTTATAATGTTCTTTTTTCAACCTCACAAAGCACTTTCACATAATGTTGCTAAACAATGAGAAGCTCCTCCGAGGCCATGAAGATTTCCGATGCTCAACCGATGCTCTTGGGGTGGGTCCCGGACTTCCAACCGCATCAGGTTGAGCATCCAAAGGTCGGGCTGGAAGCAACTTGGACCCGATCTTCCGGGCAAGGAACCGGGGAGAACTAAGTTGACTGTAAGACTTGGAAACTTTTCTCATCTCTACCTTCATCTTACTAAATTCCTCCTCAAGTTCTCCAACTCTACACCTCATCCTCTCCAAATTCTCTTTTAGAACTTTGTTTTCCCGCATCATTGAAACCCACACGTCTCTCTGTACAGTATTGACAGTCATGTCGCTAGCCCGACCAGCGGGACCAAGGTTAGCACTCTCTGTGTCTACGACATGGAGGCAGCCAGCTAAGGCTGCTCTTAGGTGCAACTGCTCGAAAAACAAAACTTGGAGGACTATCCGGAGAGGCAACCTTTCATTTTGAGAAGCATGCGCACAAGCATCGATTGATAGTTTTCCGAAGTTGATGATGTTGCAAAGTTGTTCCTTTTCATTCTCGGAGAGCCAAGGATGAGCCTGCAAAATATTATCTAATTCAATTTAATATCAGGATTAGACCCTTGACTGTACACTATTAGTCAATTTGGTCCTTTGACACAGCAAGGTGGAGTAAAACACGCCTAATATCTAATAGGATTAGATTTAGTCCTGAATAGACAAAATACCTTCTTAAGACTTAATTATGTAGAGTAAAACAAGCCTAATATCTAAATTGCATACTCAGAGAGGAAAATTCAGCCCAAAAGAAAGTTGATAACCAAAATGATTCAATCAGTTGTGATACATAGTCAAGAAAGTAAATCAGATAAGAACTCAAAAACCTAATGTTTGCACACAAACAAGCATCTAATCACACAAAACCAAACAGTTCATCAAAATATATATGTCAAGAAAACCTACAAACCTTGAAATATATATCCACAGCTCTGTATAGTCCATCATGAAGAGCCCTTGATGTGTCTGGCAAGCCTTCTGCCAACACACGTATCCTTTCAGGCTTCAAATTCAAATCTGAAGCAATCTCTGCAATGTAGTTGTCTATCAACTTCGCAACCCTACACATAGGTTGAGATGAAGGTGACGTTCCACAAGATGGAGATGAAGTTGTGACCACTGGCAGAGAGATGAAATGCTGAATCATCCGTTCAACACAGCCCGAATTATATAATGTATCAGAATCCGAATAGGATGGTATTAACAGACTATCTAGAGTCGCCAAATCCAACTGCATTCCTATTCGCCTCTCCAAAGTCTCCTGGCAAGAACTGCTAGTACCTAAAATCAAGGCAACCCTTAAAAGTCCCAAGAGGAAAAGGCAAATGGATTTTCCTTTCCTTTCGGGTAAAAGATTGACCATGTTTTCAATAAGAACCTTTTGGTCAACTGCAACAGGTGTCAAACTGAGACTAGCAAAAGTTCTGTTAATTGTATCAGATTTACCATTTTGCCATCGGCTCAGTCCAGGAAGGTACTTTTTACAATAGTACATTATAGCTCCTGCTATGCGGTCTGGTTTTATACCTTTTGTTTCCATTGTCCTAATTAATTGCTCGAATAAGGGTACACTAAGATAAGAGATGTCATCATACCACCAATCAGATGCTTTGGCTTGGATTCTTGCACCTGTGTCTATGCCGTTCCACAATATGCTACCCCCTGGGCTTTGTAATCTTCCGTACTGACCGTACATCATCATGGGCCATCCGAACAGACTTGGGTCCGTACAGACCATAACAGAAAGAGAGTTTAAACATTTGTTGATGATTTGGAGCTTGGTGGCTCTTGGAATCATGGAGTTACAAGTTTGAAGAGCCAAAATGCAATCTTTCCAGTTTGTTAGTATGTTCTTGTGAAAGTAATCATCTGAAATGGAGAGTAAATTGTCTTCTCCATACTCATCGGTCATTTCAAGGTAGTCTGCTCCACAGTAAACTATCACAATGTTTCTTGGAGTGAACTCAACCCGATTGCCATAGCAGAATTTCACGATGACCAAGAATATTTCAGCCCCGCCAGGGAATTCTTCTAGTCTTGTTGTAAAAGTCTGTTCATGGGTACCTTGAGCTTCTTCAAGTGCTTTAAATATCCTCCCACATTTTGACATAAGGGGAAACTGAGTAGGATGATTTTTTTTAATGTTAGGTGATAAATCAGATAATCATATATGGAATTGAAATACAATGGAACTTGAGCAATATATTTGGATGAGGAAAGGTATATATTTACATGAATTTTATTAAATATATGTGGCTTAATTTAGAAACAATCTGTTTATGGAAAGGATATCCAAAACAACTTATTTGAGGAAGTATAAAATTATCAGAAATTAAACTAATTAGGGAAGGAAAAAATGATTATGTGTTAGAAGACAATCTGAAAATCACTCTTTTGACATTGAGAACCTCCTCATGAGCCACGGCTGAATTAATGGGCGTGACTTAAAACAGATCTTATCAAATTATAAAAAAAATAGTTTCAATAACACCGACTTTTCTGCAATAGTTGTCTATTAGCACATCCTGTACGTGTATAATTATTCATTTCACGAACAATGGCAAAAAAGTAAGAACCTCAATGTCTTCCACAGCAAAATAATTTACAAATTCAAGTCATTCAAAACAAAAGAGAAGGATACAAAATGTATTCGAGTTCCAACTTCCAAACATGTTTCTTTTCAGTAGTTCGTATTGGTAAGAAGAAAATAATCAAAAATACCTTATGAAGGTGGAATTCAACTCCATCTACAACCAGGGAAATGTCACTTTTCAAACTTGCATTGCAAAACCTGTCAAAAGCATCAAGGTTCACATCAGATGGACTGTAGGCAATACTGTCATGTTCATATTTTTTAAATATTATACAGTACATCATAGATTCGTAATTTTATCATATCCACTTCTTGGGGAAGGGAGTACTAGAAGCAAGATTGAGATGGAGCAAAACTTGAATTTGATTTACTACTACACAAAAATGTGTTCTTGCAAAAGAACCATTGCTCCCACTAACATGAAAACAGACACAAAATGACCCACCAATCCTAAATAACACATTGACACTTATGATCACTGTTTTAAAATACATAAATAGATACTGAAAAAACTAAAATAAAAATCTTGCTCCACCTAGACCTCCTATGTCTGCCTCCAATTTTTTTTCCAATCAACCCGCCAAGGAATAAGAGCCATTACCCAGGGCTCTTTAAAGCACCACTTGTGAATTATGATACAGCTATCAGGTTGAAGAAACTATGCACACATATATATAAATAAAAACGAAACAAATTTACATATAAATAACAATTGAGATTTGAGAGAAGAAACCTATAGCCATTCTTTGATCCTGGGAAGAAAGAACACTCACCAGGCATTTCCTTGACGGTAGAAAGAAGTAGCCTTCCCAGGAGGTGCCATCATAAGTTCTCCAACCACTTTCTTTGTATTTCATATATAAAGGCAAGCTACCTTCCTGCTTTCGTCCCCGCAATGACAACCTTTGTGACCCTAAATTCAAAAAGATAGCAGATAAGACAGGTCACCAAAGTGACTAACAACTCCCAGATTGTCAAAACCAAAAATTTACACCGGAATTACCGGGTTAATTACAATTACAGTCATATAAATTGGCGAGGATCCCCAGGAACCCCACATCACCCTTACAGCTAAGACTGTGTTCCCTGCACAAAGTGTTGATTCCAGTGAAAAAAGAAGGGTCTAGGGGTACAAAAAGCTAAAGAGACAAACAGAGACACTCAACCGGCGTCGAAAAAAGCTTACCAAACACAAAAAGATTCTCGCTTTTTATGACAGCCCGTTTTTACAAATTCTCTTGGGTTTGACTGGTAGCTCTTGTATGAAAGCAGCATTGGCAAAGCGGCGGAGAATCCATACGAGATGAGAAGAAGGGAGAGGGGATCGAAGGGTAGTGAAGGCGGGAGGAGACAAGAAGACATGGCTAATGATGAAATTGGGGAGAGCGAAGGCGAAGGTGGTGGGGAGGAAAGTGGGAGACGTGGAGTCGAAGACAGGGTGGGCCCCAATAAAAGTTGTCTTCCGGTTCGGTGGGGCCAGTCGATGAAGTTGTTAGGAAGAGAAAAAAAAAAGAAAAGGAAATTCGTTCAGTGTACATGAGTCAGTCGTACACAAAACCTCTCAAATTACATGTTTATAAAGGAAATTCGTTTATTTAAAACAAGAATGATTTTTGTACACATTCTTATACACACTTTTTGTACACATCTATGTTTGTGAAAGTATTTTTCCGTGTTATCAAGCATTTTTCTACTTTGTACTACGTATTTTCTATACATCGTTCCGTGTTACTGCTGTATTCCAGGATTAGAGTGGTTGATTTTGATGATTCTTATTTTCAGCTCATCGATCAATTTTTCAATTTTTATGGTGTATGTAACTTTTTATTTTGCTTGTTAAATTATACTCCCTCCGATCCTAAATAAGCATCATAGTTTGAATTTATGGTGTTTAAGAAAGTTGAATTTTTCCTTTTAACTTTTCCATCATACCCCTACAAAAAGTAAATTGTGTGTAGTGGGAGAGAAAAAGTAGGAATAAAGTAGGTAATAAAGTAAGGGTATATGAATAACTTTATTAAACATTTACCAAAAATAGAAATGTGAAGTATATTTGGATTTGCCCAAAAAGGAAAGTGTGAAGTTTATTTAACCCAAGGGAAATATAATAATTAAAATAAGTAAATTTGAACTTACCTTTTTAGTACAATTGACTGAATTTGCTACAGAAAATCATTTTTAACTCGTTTACATATAATTTTTTTAATTTAATTGATAACATATATTTATATATAATTTTTCATAATTCAGTAGATTGGGCCAATTTAATCACTTCTGCCAAAAATTACAAAATTTCAACAGATATAACCGATTCAGCCAATTTTAATGTTACCAAACATATTATAAATTATACTTCCTTCGGTCCCAAATAAATTTCACGCGTTTACTTCACGATTTCAAAGAGTGGAATTTTTTATTTTAATTTTTTCGGTATATCCCTAGACAAGTAGATTATGTGTACCAAGAGAGAGAAAATGGGTGTAAAGTACTCTCTCTATCTCTAAAACTTGGCCAAGTTTGATGGCCCAGAGATTAATAAAGTAAAACTGTATGGTTGAGGTTTGTGTAGAGGAGACTAGAATAAAAGTCCGTTTGGTGACATAGTTTTTCAGCTTATCACTGTTATCAGGCTTATCAGCCAACTTTTTAACCAAACACATAACTTTTGATTTCGCGCGCTGAATTGTTTAATAATAAGAAAAAATAAGGTTGAAGTTACTTTTGTGGTTGCATTGGCTGAAATAATGTAGATGATCATTTTAGCTGTTTTTTCATATAATTTTTTCTTTATTATATTAAGAATATATATTTTGATGGAGTATATGGCCCGGGAACCCCCGGCCCACAGACTCCTACTACTCCAGCAAAGGCCCAACAGGCCCAATTCACAGCGCCCGGAGTACCAAGCAGTCCGCACAACGCACAGGGGTGCCTTCGGCCCCCTGGCCGAAGGCTCCAAATTCTCACAGAACGGGTTTCTCAAGCAAACTAAGAAACTGGGGGAAAAACGGCAGAAAACAGCAGCCCTCGGCACTGTGAGCCCTCGGCACCAGGGGTGCCATCGGGAGGAAGAGCCCTCGGCTACTGCTCTATAGCCGAAGGCATCTCACTCGACAAGATATCCGCCTCACATGCGTACAAATCACCGTAGTCTGCACAGACGTCCCATCCAACAGCCGCATTAAATGCGGCCACATGCGGCTGCCAGCGCCAACCAGTTGAGGTGACCCCTCGGCCAATGAGCGCTTGACACGTGTCCATGCCCGGCATTTATTGCTGCTATAAATAGCACCCCTTTTCCTCATTTGTAACCACGCTGAAAAGTGATAACGCACTGAATACACTCTCTCTCTACTTTTATTTACTTGCTCTGACTTCTCTCTAAGTTATTCCCCGTAATAACCCTTCGGATATAAACCCCCGGGTAGACCATCCATCATTTGGTGCTCTCGTTGAGAGGTTGAACAATCGAGTAAGAAACCCTCCCCCTCGACCAAACACAAACACTAGCCCTCTATCAAAATGGTGAGGACAACACGTGCCAACTCAAAGAACGTAGAAGACAAGAACCTGCCCCTCGGCGACGTCAACGCCCCCGAAGCCTCTCACAGGGCTCCCGAGGGCGGTGTCCTCGCTGGGCTGGAACAGGCGGCTGTCGACCTACGCCTTCAGAGCCAACAAAACGCCCCCGATGCCCGCCTCGGCATCGAGGCCAAGAAGAAAAACCGGAGCGATGACCAAGTCAGCCCTCCGTTTCTCACCATCGACGTACAATCGGCGCTCTCCGCCTTCATCCAGACGCTCACCCAGAACCCGGGTGCCTTCGGCACCCTGGCTCCAGCTCACCCTCAGATCGGGGAAAACATCATACTTCCCCCTCTGCCACACCCCTTCGGAAATCCCACCCCTCGGGTGAGAAATGATGAAGGGGTGGTGGCCCAAGATACATCCTCCTAGGAAGTTCAGTCCCGGGACCGCCATAATGACAACAGGGAGAGGCCCCGTACTTCCGCCCTCAACCGGCTCGGAGGAGGGCCAGACCGCCGAGGGGTCCAAGACCGCCTCGGGGGGAAAGCACTCCAAAGGCCCCAGGAAAGCGGGGGATCTGTTTCGAGGGCAGACGAGGAGCGTCCCCCTCGGGACAAAGGCAAGGCACCCCTTCATGGCGATGATGCTCGGCACCAAATCAACCAGGCCCACTCGGCCCGGGTTCGTTCGCAGGGGGCGGAGACCCTCCCGAGGGACCCCCGGGACGAGATTATTGCGGCCCTCCAGCGCCGGCTTGACGAAATGGAATCCAACAAAGCTCACGCCACCACCTCCACCCCTCACTCAGATCTCAAATACGAGGCTATGATGGCCAAAATGGAGGAGTTACAGAAGAAGGTGGCCGAGGGCTCCGGGGAACCCGTCATCCAGCTCCGGACCCGGACGCCATTTACCCCAAGGGTATTGGCGGCCCGGATCCCGGAGAAATACCAAGGGCAACACATACAGCCCTACAGCGGGAAAACGGACCCCCAGGAACATTACAGCAAGTACCAGAACAGCATGATGATGGTGGGGGCGTCAGACGAATATTTGTGTCGTTGGTTCCTCTCCACCTTAGAGGGACCAGCATACGAATGGTTCAACAGGCTGCCCGAGGGCTGTATTGATTCGTGGCAAGAACTCGCCCAACGATTCTTGACACAATTCGCCGGGAGACGTCGCACAAGGAAGCACTTCTCCCACCTCCTAACAATACGCCAAAAGAAGGATGAGACCCTTCGGGATTTCCTAGAGCGTTGGAGGACGGAGGCCGACAAGGTCGACGGTGCTGATGACGGGACCCTCCTGGCCCTCCTACAAACCGTCCTCCGCACCGGCAACTTTTCAAGGAGCCTCGTCATTGAACCCCCTCGCGATTACATAAGGGCCCTGCGGCGGGGGGACCGGTATGCTGAGGCCGAGGAGGTGGAGAAGTATCACCAGCATCCGGACCAACAGCCCCCGAGGGCTGACAACAAGCATAACCGAGGGCCGGGGGCTCCTCCAAATCGCCCCAAGGTTTCGGGACCCTCTGATGACCGCCCTCGGCAAGGCCAAGCCAAGCCCGGGGGAGGTTATAAGAGCAACCCTAAGACTTGGGCCCAGCCCATTCTCCTGGACCGCCCTCGGACACCACTGACGCACCCCGTCAGCATCATCCTCGATTTTGCAGAGGAGAGGGGTCTCGTTGAGCGCGATTCTCGCGCACCCCCGGAGGTACACGCTATCAACCCTCAGTTCCCCTACTGTCACTTCCATCGACACCAGGGGCACAGGACCGATGACTGCCATCAACTGAAGACGGCCATCGAGAGATTAATACAAGCAGGGCACCTGTCCCAGTTTGTCCAGAGCCCTCGGCAGGAGGGACCTTCTCATCAGGGACCCCCTCGAGGGCACCATACGAAGGTAAATGCCTGGGCGAATCCGAACACCATCCCCCTCGGCAAGAAGAGGGAGATCGGAAACTTGGAAGAAGAGGAGGAGGAGTACCCCCACTACCAGGAGAAGAAACGCCACATCCTCATGATCACCGGTGGCAATACAGGGGGCGATTCCACCAGCCAACGAAAGAAGTGGGCTCAATCACTTTACGTGGGGGAAGTCACTCATATGCCCCCGGTAAAGCGATTGAGGGAGGAACCCGTCACCTTTACCAACGCAGATCTCCCTCCTACTTCTTCTCCTCACAGGGATGCCTTGGTGATTCGGACGGAGATAAACGACACCATTATTCACCGAACTTACATTGACACGGGCAGCTCCGTCAATGTAATGTACCTCAGCACCTTCAGAGAGCTGCATCTGGAGAGGGGGTCCCTTCGGCCCATTAAGACCCCTCTTGCCGGTTTCACCGGCGATACTATTGATTCCGAGGGGGTAATAACCCTCCCGGTGATCTTCGGCGACGGGCTCCATAGAGCCCAGCTCGAGGTGGAGTTCGTCGTCGTCAACATTGACTGCGCCCACAACATCATCCTCGGCCGGCCAGCCCTCGAGGACCTCGAAGCCATCATCTCCATGAGGCACCTCTGCCTCAAGTTTCCCGCCGAGGGGGGCATTGGCTACTCCCGGGGGAACCAAAAAATTGCCCGTGCCTGCTATCTTCAGGTCACTAAGAAGGTAAGCAAGACGGAACTCCGTGTTGACACCATCACCGGAGCCGTCGACCAGGAGGAAAGAAGGCCGAGGGCTGAACCAGCCGAGGACGTAGAAGACTTTGCGCTCGATCCGGCCCAGCCGGAGAGAGTCGTGAAGATTGGAGCCCAGCTCCCTGAAGATTTGAAGACCGGTATCACCGACGCCCTCCGTGCCTACTCCACTGTCTTTGCATGGGGGCCGGAGGACATGCCGGGAATCAGCCGAAGGGTC